CAGAATGGACTCCAGGGCAGTGGGTGTGGTTTGGGCTTTGCTTCTGTAAAGACTGACAGCCTGGGAAACCCTGTGGGGCAGTTCCACTCTGTCCTACAGAGTGTCTATGAGTTGGAATCCGCTAGGTGATAGTGGGTTTTTTTAAAAAATTATTTATTTATAGGCAAATGTCGGAGGCAGAAAATGTGCTTGAGTGTTCAAGAGGCAGCTGCCTTGTCAAAATATGGAAAGTAGTTTTTGCTTTTGTTTCAGCTGCTCCTCCTCAGAGCATCGGTGAGATAGCTGGAGGCCGGTGCGGTTACAGCCGCAGGAAGGGTGCCGAAAGTGGCCAGGGGCAGCTGCTCCTTTTCTGCTGAGAACCAAGGATAGCACTGCATAAGGGACACTGGTCCCCGTGGTTGGCCAGCTAGGAGGAACACCACACTCAGGCTGGGAGGAGCTGGAATGTCAGGCAGCTCTGGCTAACCCTCCCTGGATACCAAAGAAGAGGCCAGAGAAAGGAAGGGTTTGTTGAGTCATCCACCGCGTTAAGTGACACAGGAAATCCCCCAGTGTTCCTCACTCCCATGTGACAGAAATACTGAAATTTTCAGAGATCCTCATCAGGAAGTCTAGAAAGACCAGAGTCATCGTCCAACAGAGATCCCAAACCAAACCAAACTCACTGCTGTTGAGTGGGATCCGACTCAGCGACCCCTCCTTGGGTTTCCGAGGCAGTATCACTATGGAAGTAGATTGCCCAACCTTCCTTCCGAGGAGTGGCTGGTGGGTTTCAGCTGCCAGCCTTCTGGTTATCAGTCAAATGCCTTGGGCACTATGGACCCTCAGTCCTTTTATAAGTCAAATGAAAGCTAATTTCCTCTAAACTGTTTAGGTGCTGAAGACACGCCATCACCTTGGAGTCCATTCTGACTCACAGCGCCCCTAGAGGACAGAGTGGAACTGCCCACAGGGTCTCCAAGGCTGTCAATCTTCACAGAAGCAAAGCCCAAACTACACCCACTGCCGTGGAGTCCATTCTGACCACAATGCCCCTAGAGGACAGAGTGGAACTGCCCACAGGGTTTCCAAGGCTGTCGATCTATGGAAGCCTAGTGGCTTATCTCTCCCGCGGAGGGCCTGGTGGATCCATACTACTGACTTTTGGGTCAGCAGCCCAGTGCTTAAGCACTGTGCCACCAGGGCTCTTTATGAACCGTAAACTAGGTCATTGGTTTAGAAACCTGTGTTCCAACTGAAACACTGACCCAAATTCTGTGTCTAAAAATCCCAAAGAGAAAGGGCAGCTACCCTGTTAACTTCAAGCAGTAAAATAACCAACGTGTAAGTGCCTGACAGCAGACAGCACTGTGCTGTGAGCTGCCATCAAGCCAGCCCTGACCTGGGCAACCCCGCACACAATGGGATCTGGCCATGGTGATCCACAGGGTTTCAGTGCTGACTCTTGGTTTCATTTGTACAAAGTGGCTTCTGGAGAACTGGCCAACACAGCCAGGTCAGTTCCACTCATGACTGAGAAATGATGGCAGACAGGCGATTAAACTGAAGCCCACCATGTCCCTACCAAAGACACCCAGGCCAATTTTAAACCGCTCAGGATCACTGTACAGCTCTGAGAATGCCATTTTCCTTCACGTATAAGGAACACTTTCTCTGCTATGCATCCAGGTGTGTTCCTCAGACCGTACCAAATGTCACATGTTCCTTATAAAGTACAGGATACCTTGAATCCTTAGTATAGAAAACCCATAAGCAGAAATTCTGATCATGAACCAATTTAAAAGTTATAAATATAATTTTTATCTGAAATTTTCAAACCTCTGGAAATGTAGTTTTCACTCACCGGGTCTTGGAAAAAACGTTTTCCAGTAATTCACCAGAATACTCATTTTGTCTATCGTCACGGGTTCAGTTAAGATGATATCTGCTCCGTGCCCTGAAATACAATCTGACAATCTCTGCGTCACACAGTGATCTTAGAAGTGGTATTTACAGAAAAAAATAAAGGAATATCACCTACCCAGCAGGTACATACCTTCAAAATTTGCAGGAAGTACGAGAACAAACAGCAAATGTGTCTTTTTCTTCTTGGCAAGTCTGAGAGAAAAAAAATGATAAAATGAGGCAGGGTCAACACTCACAGACCTGGGATTCAATAGGGTCGCTCTTAGGAAGTAGCCAGGAGTAATTTTCTTCTTCCTGTGGACACTGAAATGATCATGTTAATATGGAAATGCGGTAAAAGCGGCTTTACAAATCTGGTTTTTGAAGGGATCAAGACTCTGGATCGAACCACCAGTTTATATGAAGATCAGGGAGAAGCAGTTTTTCCAAAGCATGTGGGGATGCAACCAGCAAAATCCAGAGTGAGAAATTCCACAAGAAACACGGCCTGTGTGTGTCCCTGCCAAGCACAGTCTCCCACACACAAGGTCACCATGATGTCCCCACTGAGCACAGTCCCCCACACATGCAGGGTCACCGTGATGTCCCTGCGGAGCACGGTTCCCTGTACACAAGGGGTCCTGTGAGTTGGAAGAGTGATGGTTACACAGCATGAGGGACACAACCAGCGTCTCCAAATGGAACCTAAAAACTTCTGAATCAGTAACGTTTTCTTATATACATATTTACTGCAAGAAAACAATTTCCAAAAAATTATCTGGGTTTTTATTATTATTATTGACAATTAACAAAAGGAAAAAATACAGCAGGAAGAAAAAGGTGAATCCTGATCTGTGTGGACTAAAATATACTAACAAATAGATATTTACAGTAATCAGGGAAACTTGAACACTGACAGGATATCTGACAATGTTACAAAACAAACCAACCAACCACACCCACTGCCTGGAGTCGATTCTGACCCACAGCGCCCCTAGAGGACAGAGTGGAACTGCACCACAGGGTCTCCAAGGCTGTCAGTCTTCACAGAAGCAAAGCCCAAACCACACCC